ATTAACAGTTTACCCGCCAAAATTTTCACGAGGCCGTAGGTGATACTCAAGAGCGCGGGAACGCTGCATTTGAATGGGCAAGTTTGAGCGTGGGTAGGGGAGCATTACCCTAAAATTTCAGCTTCCTAGACCCCGTGGTTCCCGAGACATTAACTTACCCGTAAAAAAACTTTCACGCGGATGCACGTCCTACCCGCGGGTACGGGAAGGCTGAATTTAAATCTGCCGCGTCACCCGCTGGCGGGGGACACTATACCAAAATTTCAGCCGCCTCGCTTTTGTGGTTCCCACGTCGAAAGTGCGGGACAAAATGTGAACACACACAGACAACCCCGTGACAATATGCGTTTTGTAACGCTGTTACGCAGCACAAAACGCATTAAAAAAAATCATAGGAAATCCAGAAAAACATCCTCACTGTCAAGGCCTTTTTCCCACTCTCTGCCCTTCCTTTTTCTAGTATCCCCTCCTGCCTGCCCCCTCCCCCTTCCCACCGTAAAAAAAAAAAAAAAAAAAAGAAAAAAATTGCTGCATCAGTGACTAATGAGTTGGTTAGCAAAGAAAAATTAAATCTTAAAACTGTCTTTGGCAACAGGCACTCCTCAGCCTGGTTAGCTAGCAAGATTCTGCGGGGAAAAATGAAGAAAAAGCTTGCCTTATGATGTGCAGCTGCTGCTGTTGCAGAAGCCACGGGTCCAGTCCATCCCGAGAGTGCCTCAACTTCGCCATTACAGGTGCAAGCTTGCGGTTGCGGCGGCGACGACGGTGATTCGCATTTGGCTTTTACATTGCCCGGTAGCAAAATGGGTGAGGCAGTTCGTTTCATGGTGGCCCCAGCTTCCTCCTCGCTTCTATTCCTCTCGTCGCGCTGCTCAATGGCAGTTGCTGCTGCAATGCCGTTCCCGGACGACGAGCTCCGCTGCAATTCGTTCACGTAAGCAAGCGCGAGAACAGTGAAAGGGCAATTACTGAAAGCTAACATTACAAAAAAATTACGTTAGCAATCTTTTCCGCCTCATCTCTCAACCTATGAACGAAAAATTTGTCCTTTGAAAAAAATACGCTTCCAAAAATTTGCTGAGCAAGATTTTTTTTTTTTCTTTTAAATATCAATTCCTCCAAACTATGCACCGCGAAAAGCAAATAATTGGCCAACGCACGGGCTGCCCGTGTGAAGATGCGTTTTTTGCGTAGTTCCCCGCAGTTTTAGTTGCAACCGGCACCA